AAAAGAAATAAAGTGAGTGATCCCTATCTCTGAGGAGCTCATAATCTAGCTGAAGAAATAAAAGCATTCACCTTTTTTAAATTATTCAAGAAAACTTAGAAAACACAATACTAATATGTACAAATCAGTTGACAAACTTCCCACCTAAGTATTAGGGAAATGCTAAATTCATTTCATTATTCTTTTAACAAATATTTACTGAAAATCAATGATGAACTAGGCACTATGCAGACAGAAAGCAACATAATCCAAGTTATATAAAATTAACCAGAGCAGTCTTTCTAAATATTCTAAAGAAGGTCAATGCTGACTCACATTTGAAAACTATATACATAGACCAGCAGGAAATGGAAGGTATTCAAAATACAGTATTCTGTGTTGAAAAATATTAAATTATTCATTTATACATGCATCCTTCTAAATAGATTTGTAGACACCATACTCATTCATTTATTGAACATTTCTAATACTTCACATACTGAAATTTTATTGAGTACCTGTTGTGCAGCAAGTGCTATGGATTCTCCTAGGACAAATAAGCAAATAATTGCAAATAATTAGAAAGCCATAATTAGAGTTATTTAGGAAATACACCAGGGAAGCAAAAGAGCAAGTAGCTAACTCTTGAAGAAAGGAGTCAGATAAGACTTCAAAGAAAAGGTGACACTTGAGCTGAGTCTTAAAAGCTAAGAAGTCCTTAATCACAAGGCACAGATAAGAAAAGGACACTCCAAGCAATGGAAGTAGTATATATTATGGAGCTGAAATATGAGTCATCTTGGTACTCTCAAAGAGCTATAGTTCTAGAAATTGAGAGTGGCTGGGACATAAGATATAAGATATATATGAACCATAGGCCTTTGCACATAGGTGAAGACCTTTAGATGGAGCATTTCCATTTCACATTTCTCTTTCTTCCTCTCTCCCTCCCTCCCTCCCTCTCTCTTCTTTCTCACACACTCACACACCCCTTCTGCCTACTTACCTTTTATTCATCCTTCATATTCAAACCAGAAATCCTTTTATCAAGATGGCTTTCCCTTACCCTCCAGTATACTTCAGGCACTTTCACTGTATGCTCTCATATATTTCCTTCCAATAGAATGGTTTTCTTTATTTGCATGTATATATTCATTAATGGGATTATTTGATTAATATCTATCTCTTCCACTACATCAGTGGCTTTAACCCCACCCACAAGACACACATTAAATACACTATACACACATATAACATATGTAACATATACAATATATAAATTGTGCATATGTACACATATATAAACAAAAAGTTTCATGAAACAATATTCATCCTTGCCATGTGTGATAAAATATATTTCTATTCATTCTTATTTCAAAAACTGTTTACAAGTTTACTTTAAAACCCACCTCCATATTTGCTCCAGAGCTTGAAAAACATCACAGCAAGTTGGCACTACATTAGAACAGAAACCATGTCTGCTGGTTTTACTCCACTCTGTCTCAGCACCTAGAATGACACCTAGGACATAGAACACTGTATAGAAATTTAGTGAGTGAATGAGAGTAATAAAAAGCTTTAAAAGATACTATTTTTAAAGTATTATCCCAATTTTTATCTAACAAGAAAACTGAAGTTTAGAGAAAGTCTTAACAATTTGCTGAGGCAAGGGAAACAAAAGCAAAAATGAATTATTGGGACTTCATCAGGATAAAAAGCTTTTGCAAGAAAAGGAAACACTCGACAAAACTAAAAAGCAACCTACAGAATGGGAGAAGATAGTTGCAAATGACATATCAGATAAAGGGCTAGTATCCAAGATCTATAAAGAACTTACCAAACTCAACACCCAAAAAAAACAAAAAAATCCAACCAAGAAATGGGCAGAAGACATGAACAGACATTTCTCCAAAGAAAACATCCAAATGACCAACAGACACATTAAAAAAATGCCCAACATCACTTGGCATCAGGGAAATACAAATCAAAAGCACAATGAGATACCATTTTACACCAGTCAGAATCACTAAAATTAACAAGTCAGGAAACAACAGATGGTGGCGAAGATGTGGAGAAAGGAGGAACCCTCTTACACTGTTGATGGGAATGCAAGCTGGTACAAACACTCTGGAAAACAGTATGGAGGTTCTTCAAAGGTTAAAAATAGAGCTACCCTATGACCCGCCAATTGCACTACTAGGTATTTATGCAAAGGATAGAAAAATAGTGATTCAAAGGGGCACATGAACCTAATGCTTATAGCAGCAATGTCCATAATAGTCAGAATATAGAAAGAGCCCAGATGTCCATCATCCATGAATGGACAAAGAAGGTGTAAATATTACTCACTATCAAAACCAATGAAATCTTGCCATTTTCAAGAACATGGATGGAGCTAGAGAGTATACTGCTCAGTGAAATAAATCAGTCAGAAAAAGACAAATACCATATGATTTCACTCATATATGGATTTTAAGAAAAAATGGATGAACATAGGAGAAGAAAAGGAAAATAAAATATGATGAAAACAGAGAAGGAGGCAAACCATAAGAGACTCTAAACTGTAGGAAACAAACCAAGGGATGCTGGAGGAGAGGTGGATGGCGGATGAGGTAATTAGGTAATGGGCATTAAGAAGGGTACTTGAGGTAATGAGCACTGGGTGTTATATACAACTGATGAATCGCTAAATTCTACCCCTGAAATGAATAATAAGTGTATGTTAACTAAATTGAATTTAAATTTTTAAAAAATGAAAAAAAAATAATTTGCTGAAGGTTCTGAGGCTACTAATAGGCAAAACCAGGATTCAGATTCAGCTCTGTTTTACTTTAAAACCCTGCTAATTTCCTCTCATGCAAGAAGTAAAAGAGAAATCTCTAGGTTGCCTATGAGAGGTGGCAGGCTGGTAATATCTCTAGTAGAGAAAATAACTTAAAATTACTTTATTCACAAGATATAGTTAGTGTTTGAATTCTGAAAGATAATTGACTTTTTAATCTTCTACAATAAGAACATCAAAATTCACTTTAAGATACTATAAAAATAAATAGAAGGATAGATGAAATAAGATAGATAAAATGTTGATAATTGTGGAAGCAATGATTCTGTCCGTTTTATGTCTATTTTAAATTGCTCTTTTAAAAAAATAATTTTATGTTTTAAAAACACAAAAACAGCCTAATAAGAATAACATTGGAGGAAATAAATCTATTCTTGTTTTTCAAGTGAGCACTGAAAATATAATAGGATTCCAAAAATCACAAGAAAGCTAAGAGTTTATTAACTAAAATAATGTCTATAAAGCACAAGATACAACATCTAGTACATAGAAGAGACTTAGTGTTAAATTTTTTTCCTTTCTACATCAGGTTAACCAAAGCCATCTGTGCAAAAAAAGTGGCTCATTATAAACAATATTATATATAAGCCTTTAAAAAAACACCACTTTGTGGTCACATTTTTAAAAAATGAATTTTGGGGAGCCTGGGTTGCTCAGTCAGTTGAGCATCCAACTCTTGATTTTGGCTTAAGTCATGATCTCAGGATCCAAGGCTTGAACCCAGCCTTGGTCTTGGAGCTCAGTACAGTCTGCCTGTTCTGCTCCCTCTGCTCCTCCCCACTGATAACCTTTTGCTGATAACCATGCATATGCATATGCTCGCTCACTCTCTCACTCTCTCAACAAAATAAATTTTAAAATAAATAAAAATTAAAAATAAATTTCATATGTCCTTTTTAAAAGAAATACTTTTTACTATTTAAAGTATGGTTGCAAATATAATTAAAATATTCATATAAAAAGTTGTTAACTTTTCTGTATATGTGTCCACAAATCCTTGCCGTAGACAGATGACATGGAATTATTGGTCATGATCATAAAACTCATTAGATAGGCACTGCCTTGCCAGTAGTATGGATCTGAAATCTACATCATAGATGAAGAAAACCCTTTTGAATATATTTCTCTCCAGGAATGTTTTTTGGTGCAGCTATTGCTATACTGTATATAGAAAAAAATTGGTTAAGTTTTTCCATCTCAATTCTGTTTCTTCTCATTTAAAAATAAATAGTCAATGGAAATTGTAATGCAGAGTACCTGTATATTATGATTTAGAAATAACACTTTGGCCCATTATTTTAAAAAAATACTGTATTGGGAATTAAGGGACTGTATTTTAGTCCTAGGTCTACCGCTAATCAGAACTTGTCAACCTAAGTTCCTTCATTCTGTGATTTCATTTCCTTCAAATGTCAAATGAAAAAAAAGAGATATTTTCTTTCTACTTTACTGGGTTATTATGAAAATCAGATTGGGTGATAAATAAGAAAATAGTTTGAAATTTATAGAAAATGGAGAAATATGAATATAAATAGTAATATTAATCTATATAGGTATATCCATGAGAGTGTACACATACATCACACATATATGCCCATAGAAAAGATAGTATTTATTTAGGAGGATGGGCTAGAAGAAATAGTTCTATTCAAAAAGTACAAGTATATGGGGCTCCTGGGTGTCTCAGTCATTTGAGCTTCTGACCCTGGATTTCAGCTTAGATCGTGATCTCATGTATCATGATCTCATGGGTCATGGGATCAATCTCCCCATTCAGCAGGGAGTCTGCTTGAAAATTCTCATCCTCTCTGCCTCTCCCTGCATTCGTACATGCTTGCTCTCCCTCTCTCTCTCTCTTTCTCTCTTATTTAAATAAATAAATCCTTAAAAGAATTAAAAGTACAAGTATCAAATTGTGGAGCAACAGGAAGACCATCTCCAGTAACACCAAGAAAGAGCATGATTAAATCACTTATACTGGTACTTCTGAATGGTGGATACAAAGATCAAACCAGCAGTTACAACACCATTGTCTGGTTGAGAATCTCAGAAAAGTATTCCATTTTCCTGAAACTTTATCTGATCATTTGAGTCAAATTTTAGAATTCCAACACTAGATCCTTATTCCGTGCCATACGTCCATTTTGATGTTTGTTCTTGGTTCTTTTTCGCCTCACAGCTGCTGATGGCCCAGGAGATCGTTTCATCATTGGGGAATCCCAAGCTGGTGAGCAGGTAAGATTCACAGGCTTGAAAGACCCTTAAGATTTCAATTTCATGGACTTTCAGCATCAAATTCTAAGTTTCTACCATCATTGTAATGGAAATTTTAGAGATGGATTAAACAAGTTATCAAAGAGATTAAAGGATGGTTCCCATGAGAAAGCTGAAAGAATTATTTTTTAACTGAAAGAAATCTGCATCTATTAATATATGACATGGTATTTTTGGTGTGTCTCACAGATACCCTGCAAGCTTTTTCCAGTCCTATGATTAGATGATTCTTTCTTATATAAACATTAATGTTCTAAGTAGACCTATAGTTTCTAGGTCATCTCCTCAAACTTTTCTCCAACCTGTATTACAGGGAAAATTAGAAGCAAATTATTTAACCTTTCTAGCTAATCACTTAGATTAGCTTTTCTCACAAGGGAGCTAGCCAGTGTATAGGAATATACATATATTTCTATTAAGAAATGAAGCACTGATGGAAGTATAGTAGAAGGTCTCTTATTTGATACTTTTGAGACTAGTAATTGGCCATTTAATTGGAAACGTGGAAAATTATATTTTTAAAATTAAGATAAGTTTAATTTAAATGAACATTTATCAATAATTTGATGGAAAGCTAATGTTTTTATTTTAATAAGTATCTACTATTTCAATTTCTATCTGGTCTTTCTTACATAAATCACACCCAAAAGCACATATGTGATTTCCAGTTTTGGTCTTTAGAGTGGAAAAAAATTTAAGGACATTTGCAAAGTAACTAAGTATAGAATCCTCCTAGATTTTTATTATATTTTTATAATTTTTTACAACTACTTCACCCACACCTAATTTGACTGTTTCTTTGGCAAAACAATTTTATTGAGTTTTTCCAAATGTTTAACCGAATTCTTATAGAAAAAAAAAACCTCTTTTGTATATTATATATCATATATCCCATATATCATTAATTTATGTAATATTTATTTAAATTACATAATTCAGTGACAACTACTGCTACAAGCTGGCACAAACAAGTTTGGGAAGAAAGTCAATTGAACTGTAAAAGGCTTACTTTACAATTATACAAGAGTCTAACAGCCTCACTGGGGCACCTGGGTGGCTCAGTTGTTAAGCGTCTGTCTTCAGCTCAAGTCATGATCCCAGAGTCCTGGGATGGAGCCCTGCATCGGGCTCCCTGCTCAGCAGGAAGCCTGCTTCTCCGTCTCCCACTCCCCCTGCTTGTGTTCCTCTCTTGCTGTCTCTGTCAAAAAAAAAAAAAAAAAAAAATTTTTTTAAAGAGTCTAATAGCTCCAAACTTATAAACAGTGCTGTATGCATCATTATATTTAAGAGGAAACAGAGAACATATGTTAATCCAGTGAATTTTGAAGGTTGGTTAAAAGAGCTCCTACCTTATCAAATAGAACAAGAAGAAGACCAAGATACTTTTTATCCTCTGCTACTACGGAGTATTCATAAGTATTATATAGAAATAAAGGAGGATATGAATGAATGAAGGAATACATGAATGAATGTGGAGGTTTGAGCAAAAGCTATGTCCCATGCCTTTTCTTCCTTGGCTTAGTATGTACTCCCATATGTGCTAAAAATATGGAAAAGTTAAGTAAGTATATAGGAGAAGAATGGTGCCCATGGTGGTGACCCCAGCTACCTCATCCCTACATCCAAGCATCAAAGAGGTCTGTGTATAGATCTCTGAAGCCAAACCTGGCACTATAGTGATTAGATGTTGTACACAGGCTGGTTTTAATCCTCATGACAAAAAGAACAGCTAGGCCTGGGTCCCTTTTTTATAAATGTCTTATATTATGACCTCATAATTTACTCAACTTCTCAATATATACTTCACTCAGTGTTGGATGTCTGAAGCATCCATTTGTATTACAAAGCTACAAAGTACCAATTATTCAGGTCTCTGATCTTCAGTTGAGTCTATGTAACATTTATCAAACATACCTACTGTGTGTACCAAGCACTGTGTTGGGTTCTAGGGGTATAAAGTAGATTAAGATATGATTTCTACTCTTAAGGAGTTTACATCTAGTGGAGGTGACAGAATATAACAACTAAGTATAATATATTAAATGTTAAACTAATGCTATCAGTCATGTACTGTGAAAGACAATAGGGAGGTTGAGCATTTCATCCTAGGAGGATTAAGAAAATACCATTGGAACTGGACCTAAGAGGCTTTTACAAAAACAGAAATGAGAAAACGACATTCTAGGCCAAGAGAACAGTATAAATCAAGACACAGGTATTTTTAAAAATTGCATAGAATGTTTAGGGAACTGCCAATAGTTCATGGTAGTCAAAGCCTAGTATAAATAGATAGATAGATAGGTAACAGATTAATAAGTGCCTTGTTGTCTTCTTAAACCTTATTTACTAGTTAAGATTTCTGACTGTACTAGAGAACTAGGAACACAAAAATAGTCATGAAACTTAAAAGTTGCTAATTTCTTGTAAGGACTATGGGGAAAAAAGATGAAAACTATACAAGAAAATGGGGTTTCTCCTCGATTTATCTGTGATGTCCTTTATAATTAAGGTATCATACAGACTTTGTAGCAATCACAGAGATCTTACATTAGCCAGATTGCTCACTTATTGGAAGTACATATGCTTGAGAATTAGGTGCCATTGCATACACTGAGACAGTGATATACAAAATACTTTCTTAGTGTACCAAATACTTGACTTTAAATCATTTAAATCATTTATACTTTGGTCCTATTGATTAGCACTGGACACTGTCAAAGAAAATATTACATGATTATAAAGTGCTGTCACTGGGCAAATCTCAAAAAAAAAACCTCAACACCTCCGTTAAGGAAAAATCAAGATTTTAACCATTTTAGTTGATATAAAACTTATAAGGTATATCAATAGAAATTTTAAAAAATGAGTTACTCTTAAAGAATTGTTACTCTTAATAATCTAAAGGAATTACTTCACATATTCCTAGAGTTTTTCATCTGATTCCATTCAATTGAGGTTTATAAATATCTTTATATATCCAATAATATCTTTTACATTGGATCTCATATAAGTGAGCTGGTAGGAAGTCTTCACCTATCACTTAGATTTACTAATCTTAGAGAGGAGCCACATTTTTTATTTAATAATTACACAAAAACACTTCATAAGAGTTAGTTTAAACCAAGAAGTAGAGAAAATTACAGGTACAACCACAATAAAACTTAGAGTAAATTTACAAAGTATCCATTGAACCTGACTAAATTGAGGCAAGGTTCCAAACTAACACACTTCAGCTTAAGAAGCAGCTGCCCTGAAACTCACTTTAGGATTCACTTTCTGCCTTAGCCAAAAAGGCACTTTCAGCAAAAGAAGGACCTGTTCAGGCCTATATCAAATATCTTTGTTGCATAGGCTCTGAAGATAGTTTTAGCATTAATACCTCTAATAAATATATATATATATATATATATATATATATATATATATATATAAACGAACGCTTTTCATCAAAAATCACTGCACTGCAAAAGACCCTGTACAGTAGATTAAGGGATGTCCCAGACAATGAGTAATATCTAAGTTGAATTTTTTTTTAATGCACTGGGCTCTAAACTTCTCATATGAAATTCTATGCAGCATCTTGGTAGAAAAATTACATAAAAATGTAACCATTCCAAAACCCTGAATATCTTTTATTCAAATAGCAGAATAAGGAAATATAAGATCCATAGCTCAATACGAGAGCTGATCCCAAGAATCTCTTTTGCCAATAACTATGGGAGAAAAGCAGGGAGAACACTGGAGTTTTAAGCCAAGAAAGATGGATTACTTCGTGTAGTTGTGAGCTACTGAGATCATACATGTTCATGCATTCATTCTAGAAATATTTATTCATCACCAACTTTGTGCTAGACACGTTCTAGGCTTTGGTATGATAAAGTGATAAATATTTCTGGAAAGGGGGTGATTAAGGGTACTATACCCAAGAAATAGGGTTAAGGGAAACCAGCTAAGGAATGTTAAGCACGCAGGTGCTAACAATGACTCTCCACTACCAGCTATCTCTAGGTCTAATGGGACAAAGGGAAAGAGTGTTACCTGGACCTGGGGAGATTCATAGCTATGAGACAGCACCACCCAATAGGAGCTGTGGCCCTCAGTAATAAAGATGACATAGCCATCACCACACCGCAGCCCAGCAGAGAAAGAGCAAGTGGAATAAAACCCTACCTTTCCCTTTCTCGTACCTCTAATCTCTTGTTGACCATTCCCATTAGCTGAACCTAATCAGAAGCCAGAGTAATGGGAACCTAGATGAAATAGTCCATAGAGATCAGCCTTCTGGGTCACAGCACAGAATAGAACATGAAGATGTTATCTGGAGAGGCAAACAAAAAAACAAATCCTGGTCTTTTTAAGGGCTTGTATTCTAGAATGTAACAATACACTTAGCACTGTACCTAGTATAAATTGAAGGGTTTGATAATTTTAGCTATTGGTAATATTATTTGCAATAATATTATTGAAAAAAGATTTTTAAGGCTGCCCTGATAAATAAATTTCCTGTTTTGCTTTGTACTTCTAATAGAGGGGTATTTTTCCTTAACCATTCCCTAAATTTTTTCAATGTGGTAGAAAATATATAAAATAAGTATATAAAAATAAAATATATATAAAATAAAAAAATATAAAATAAAATAAATCATAACCATTTTTAATGTACAGTTTAGTAATGTTAATATATTCACATTGTTGTGACCTAAGATTTTTAAATACTTAAGATATCTTTGGAAAGATCTCTTTTTTTAATTGGGAAATTAATATTCTCTCAGAATTCTCTTTTAGGAGAAATTTGAAGCATTCCTTTTCCCAACTCTTACTAAATCATTGGCCTATGAGGCCAAATCAAACCTATCAAACAGATCTTACAGAAATATGCTTTTCTCTATGCTGAGAGAAGTTTGCAGGGCAGGGCCTGGGGTCAGTCTCCTGTACCATCTGTATGAGAGCTCAGATAATGAAAATCTGGATATAATGTTTAGCAGAAATCATTACAGACACTGGAATCATTTTTTAATTACTTCATTGCATTTTCTAGACTTTCATTATTGAAAGGTGAACTAATACATTTTGGAAAGATTTTCAAGTGAAATAATTAAAATGGTTTTTCTGACTTGCCTTTATTAAATAAAAAAGTTTAGTTAATAAAGTACTACATTTCTTTAACATCAAAACTTAAGGGGCGCCTGGGTGGCTCAGCGGGTTAAGCCACTGCCTTCGGCTCAGGTCATGATCTCAGGGTTCTGGGATCGAGTCTCGCATGGGGCTCTCTGCTCAGCAGGGAGCCTGCTTCCCTCTCTCTCTCTCTGCCTGCTTCTGTCTACTGTGATCTCTCTCTGTCAAATAAATAAATAAAATCTTAAAAAAAAAAAAAAACTTAAGTGACCAATGTGCTAGTTTTTCATAATTGTCTTTCATAAAATCACATTGGATGGCATTTTTTTTTCTTAAAGACACTCAAATCACTTTACATACAAGTATTAAGAAAATTCACATTATTTGAGTGAGACACAATAGTGACAATTGTGACAGTTCTTCAAAAGGAAAACAGGGGACCAAGAAAGACATCTGGTCATTACCTTAAATCGAGTTAAAGCCTCTTTGGTGTAAATACAACTGTTTGTGGGTAGTTTTTATTACATTGGACCAAAATGAATAAGAATATAAGATTTTCCTTTTATGGTTTGTTTCTAAAAATATTAAATCTCCTGCAGACTTTTCCTTTGCCACAGCAGAGTAAATTAATTCTTTTTTACATGTTTGTATTTTCAGCCGACTCAGACAGTAATGCCAGGACAAGTCATGCGGGTTACAACAGGTGCTCCAATCCCCTGCGGTGCTGATGCAGTAGTACAAGTAGAAGATACTGAACTAATCAGGGAATCTGATGATGTATGTCATCACCAGGTTTTACTGCTCTGTTCCTATGGCCAGGTTATAAACTATGCCCATTTTCTGCAGTGTTTATAAGATTAATCCAGTTGGGCTTTGGGTTTTATTTGTTTGTTTGTTTGGTAATGTTAGGATCTTACATTGTAGTGTATGGGTCTCCAGTAAATAGGAATTGCCTTATATTTGAAAATCTTTTTTTACAGGAGATATTTTTATGATCATTACTGTAATTATAATAGAATTTGAACCACAATTGACCCACAAAATTTCACATGCAAACAAGGAAGGAAACTACCTTAAATAGGACAGCAGAGATAATAACTGTTGACATACCTTACAGCCGAGAAATTTATTCAAGACTAGCTTCTGATAAAATGTGAGAGAGAATTTAACAGAGAAGAAATTAACAAAGAAACTTGAGCAAGTTCTTAAATATTACACTAGGCCAAGCATTTGAACCAAATAGCCCTTCAACTCTGGTTTTCTATAATTCATAAAAATCTTTGCCAGCAAATGACACCCTGGAAAAATTAAATTTATGTCGGTGCCCCCTCTATAGCCTACAGTAAAGGATCCTGGGAATTTTCTTGGTCTAAATGGGCCTTCATCTCACTGAAACTCGTGGCAATTATTGGAACCAGAGGGTCAGCCACCAATAAAAGAATAGTTTCAACTGACATTTTAATGATTAGCTGTCTTAACTTGTTTTTTTAAAGAAGTTTAAGATATTTTGTATCTTAAAAGCCGAAGCTAAAATAACTAATATTCTTCTGGGCTGGCTGGCTATATAGTAAAATTTGGCATGCTGAGAGACAGCAACTTTTCTTGATCTGGGATTTTCTTTTTAATTACTTTCCCACATGTAAGGCCTATAAAATTCAAATCTTGGCATACATATCACACTGCCTGCTGTTAAAACTGTCCAACAGATTTATTGGCATTAGGGAAGCCAGCAAAGCATTGAAATCCAGAACACATGCATCCACCAACTCTGCCAGATGACAAGACACAGTTCCAGTGTCACAATATTATTCACAGCCCATAAATGTAAAATTAATGATCACCATTAATTTACAGAAATCTACTACCAGGAAAACTGTAAGTCCTTCACTGAAATTTCTGCAGATATTTGGGAAACTTGGCATGATTCATGGGAACAGAAGAGACAGGTTATCTCCATCCACATTTGATGTATCTGTTAGGGTAGCCATATAGATAGATCTTTTGTTTTCCCTTGAGAATGCTATCTTACAATGTAAGATCTGGTATTTGAATTGGTACATTTTTAAAAACATGAAAATTATGAAAAAAAGTTTTACTTATTTATAAATGATTGTATTGGCATCAAACCTAGTTTTCCAGGTACCTGTGGTAGAAATTTATCATGTTCAAAATGTGTAGCAAATGGTTCTGTTTCTCTATATTTGTATATATATTCTGTACCTATCTGATGATAAATGCATCTGAGTAGCTAAATTGTATTGATCAGAAGTTCTGTTAGATTATTCTGTTCGAAATTACATGACTTGCTCTTATTATAGGGCACCGAGGAACTTGAAGTACGAATTCTGGTGCAAGCTCGACCAGGCCAAGATATCAGGTAAATTCATAATGTATAGAATGTATAGCCAACTTTTGTTTCTACATGATCATGAACTCAGGAGAGCATGGCTATTGTAAACCCACAGCTCAGTCATTTAGCCATTAGTGTTCAGGACTTTTAACAAGTAGCAAAATGAATTTTCTTAATTCTACATTTCATGTCTACTCTGCCTACTTTTTTGTAAATATAGTAAAGGTAAATAAAATAGTCAAAAGCAACATAAGAAGGAGTAAAGTCATGATCCTACTTAATCCGCAATTAATCCTGCTTCTAGATAATCCAGAAATCTGGCCACACCCCTAGATAATCCAGAATTTGGTATCAACACAGATAATCCCAGATTTGAGTTTTTATGCAATTAGCTGATAGCCACTCCTCTACTGACTACCAATAATAGTAGAATAACCTGCTATTCCTTATATACAAAAATGAGACTACTGTCTTACCATAAGTAGTACATAAACTTTAAATTATTTTTCTTACATTGGAATGTGTTTGCCCTAATCCCATCATTACTACATTTGCTCAAATGTCCTTATAACAAAGCTACAATTCTCACATCCCTATGGCAAGAAGCCAAGCTGAGTAGACTTCTGTGGCCATAGACCTGGGCCAGCCTAAATTGTCCAAATAGAAATTATCCCTGTGACTGTAACCTCATTAATGTTATTCTCCTCACCCCAAAGCTAACATGCTATGGACCTCTTATCATTAATGCCACTAGATATATTCATATAAATTCTTGCCTTATATCAAAGAAAGTTTGTATTTGGTATTTTTTTTACTGTAATTTAGTATAAAGCAATTTGTAAAATAGTTTTCAAATGTGAAATAACATATTCCTTAGCAAAAATGGAAATCTTATTTCTTTTATCTTGTGATTTAAATTGTTTATTAAAACAGCGAAGAGTTTTTAGAAGCTTTTTATTTTATTATTCTGTTCCTGCCTCATCTCTTGACTCTTTTCTCCTCTTAAGTGTCCTCCTCCTTTGACACTAACGTCAGTTAAGAAGATATTATTCTTATCATACTGCTTATGGTTCTGCTTTGACTTTCAGACCCATCGGCCATGACATTAAAAGAGGGGAGTGCGTTTTGGCCAAAGGAACCCATATGGGCCCCTCAGAGATTGGTCTTCTGGCAACTGTAGGTGTCACAGAGGTTGAAGTTAATAAGTTTCCAGTTGTTGCAGTCATGTCAACAGGGAATGAGGTAAGAAAAAAAAAGTGGGGGGGAGTAAGTAGCTAATTCAACTTTCAGGTAAAAAGCCTTTTTGACTTCTGTTCTGTGTCATAAATAGAACATTGTGGATTACAGATTTTTACCACATACATGTAACAGGGAAATAAATATACTGGCCTCAGGATAGTTCAAGTACAGAAGATAAGAAGGAGGAAGACTAGAAATTCCATATTAAGAAATCTTCCCTTCCATTTATTAGAACAAAATATTATAACCAATGATCTTTCCACACACTCAGTACATATAAACAAAGAATGTTCACTGCTAACTATAGATTTCAACTATGAAAATTGAGTGCTCAGTCTATTAGGACAATGAATTCTACCTACCCTGCTGCTGAGATGATGGGCCGCCTCTGTGTGGATCAATGAATTGGGACACAATGGTTAGCCCTTCAGCTTGCTGGAAGTTCCTTGTGATCCTTAGTCACCAGGAAGAATTTGATAATCTTTTCTCTTTTTCTGCAAGGATGGCATCTCTGGTGGCATGTTTCTCAATATGTCAAATGTCATTTCAACCCTGATTTAGGATGAAAGTTAGTCAATTTTAATTTGAAAAATTCCTGTTCCATGTTTTGCTTATACAAGAAATCAGATGTTCTAATCAGACTGGGAGTATTGAAAAATGAATCTGCTGGTAATTCAAAGCCTAAGAGCAGAATCAGAAACTATTGAGATTTTTTTTTTTTTTAGGCCTTTAGACCTTACTATTTTTAAAAAGATAAACAGGTTTCTTTTTTTTTTCTCTTTTAATCTCTAATTTTATTCTGAAACCATTTATTTATTATCATTATTTTTAATTTCTTAAAGTCTTGGAAATGAACATCTTCAAAGGTCTCTGTTATCCTTATAGCTCTTTTAGAAAGGGCAAAAAAATTGGGGTAAATCGGAAGAGGAGAAGAAGCATGAGAGGCTGTGGATCCTGAGAAACAAATTGATGGTTTTGGAGGGGAGAGGGTGGGGGAGGGGTGAGCGTGGTGGTGGATATAAAGGAGGGCTCATATTTCATGGAGCACTGGGTATGGTGCATAAACAATGAATCTTGGAAAAATTAAATTAAATTTTAAAAAATAGAGCAAAAGAAAAGAAGAGAATATTTGTTTTGCTAATGGAGAGATCAATCAGTATTCTAGACTTAGTATGGGTGCACTGGTCATTCTCTAAAACTATTGACTGACCCAAAACATTACTTTCAATCGATCTACATAGTGAAGATTTTAATATCCCTAGGACCAGCTGACATTATGTTTGGCATCAGAAAGAAATATCTGATAAACTGGTTGACTTAATGAACTGTTCTTATTTGTGATTTATTTGTATGCTTTGTGCATTTAAGTGAGTTCATGGGGGGTTTGCGAAAGCTAAAGAGAATGAGCAAATTCATAAATAACTAACTAGTTATTAGGCAACTTTGTTTAAGCTGTATTTCTTGTATTCTTCCTAATGTTTTTGTAAGGCTGGACCATAGTCTCACTTATCCTCCAGACTACATTGGTAATATTTTTAAAGCTATCATACATTCTGTATGAAAACTGTTGGCTAGTGGTAAAGAAGAGTGATGGGATAAGACTAGAGAAGATACTTACATCATGGAATCTAAGGAAGAATTCGTAGTCCCAGTTCCCTGCCTCCATAGGCTTGATTATCCTTGGATGGGCTTTCACAGATGCTATTTTCTGTGGCCTACTATATTTACCATGGTTTTCCAAGGGAATAATGTTTCTAAATCTCTAAATCTACAATCTAAAATAATGTTTCTAAATCTATAATCTCTGGTTCCATATAGCTCAGCACTCATTCCCTAGTTCCATCCAAGATTAGCTGTTATTATGACTCTATGATTGTATAGTTTAGTTCAACCAATGTTTATTAGGTATCTCTATGCCAGGAATTATACTGGAAACTGGGAATAAAAGAAATGAATGAAGTAGAGTATCTCTTTTGAAGGCTTGAGATCTTTGATAGAAAATAATGGGGAAAAATTATTTCTTTTCAGAGAGGCCAAAAGAAATTAACACTTGTCTGTTAATGTGGCAAGTCTATAATTTAGTTGGTCATAGCACAAGCTCCCCTTAAGTATTAACTGATTTCCCCTGGTATGAGTGGCTTTATATATGTCCACTTTTGAATCCAGCGTGGTATGTCAATAAGCAGAACAGTGGCCTGAGGCCACCCAAAGAATGCCATACAAGATATCTGTGTATACTGTCTTTAAAACCTGCCCAGTATTTTGTGACTACATGTGTTTATTTGGGATGGGGGAATTTTTTCAAAATTGGGAGGTACAGTTGTGAACTATAACTAATGCAGAATAGTCAATGCAGACATTTGTTTCTTTCAACAAACTGTGTATGTTAACATTTAGGTAATACCATCCAATAATTACATAATTGTGGCATACATTTCCAACCTCATGCATTTGTTCAATAAATATTTATTAAGCATCTATTACATGCTGGAATGTCCATGAGGGGTTATCTTAACTAAAATCAGTTTTATAAGATGTGAATACACTCTATCGTGAACCAGTTTATTTAGAAGGGTTTTGAACTGGAAATTCAGTGTCCAGCAAGGCTGGATCAGACTTTCATCTTCAGTGGAACTAATCCTCTTAATCATCTACACAGCCATCCAAGAGTTATTTTCTTTTTTCTTCAAGTGACATTCACGTGCAAGGGAACAAGAATTATACTAGGAGACTAGGGGAACCATCATCTTAGAAGCATGTCCTACATAAGAAACAGTATTTCTTCTAACAGTCTTAGGCAGCTTCCAGGGTCCCTACAAGGGAAATGTGCAGATACAAGTGTCACCACATTGACAAAAGCCCAAAGATATGGCTTCCTACTACGTATTCATAGTTCATGTATTTATTTTTAAGATTTTAGTTAGTTAGTTAGTTAGTTAGTTAGTTGACAGAGAGAGAGCAAGAGAGGGAACACAAGCAGAGGGAGTGGGAAAGAGAGAAGCAGGCTTCCCACTGAGCAGGGACCCTGCTGGATCTGGGGCAGGATCCCAGAACCCCAGGATCATGACCTGAGCCAAAGGCAGACGCTTAATGACTGAGCCACCCAGGTGCCCCTATAGTTCATTTATAGTACCTTCTAGTTACCAATAACAGATTATTTTTGCCATGGGAAATGCTGCCTAATAACAAGCTGACATTTCGTCTTTATCAAATTTCCGGGGAACAGAGCTAGAAAGTGAACCGAATCTCAAATTTGTCCTTAGAGATGGTAAAGGGTTTTGTAAACCCTTTACCCTCACATAAGAGGATCCACTGTGTGTAGAAAATTAGAAAATAATAGTAAAACTTACTATAAGTCATTCTGCTTTTTATCATCACCATGCACTGGCTATTCTAAGCAAAGTCAGTGATAAAATATGCTCTGCAGGGCAAACCATTTCCAACACCCTTCCCCATTTAGTATGCTACCATACTGATGCCAGGCGCTGTTCTGACTGCTCAGGATATAGCAGCAAACGAGACAAACAAATTCCCTGTTCCTACAGAATTTATATTCTAATGGAGGCAGGATAGGGGAGATGGTGAACAAAAAATACCAGTAAGTGGTATGAAGAAAAATTAAGGATAAGATGATAAAGACTAGTAGTAGAAGAGGTATATGCCAAATATTACCTGTTGAAACCTACCCTACATCACCCCTTTCATATTCTCCTCTTTACAATAAAGCCAGAAGGCTGAAAACCCAATTTCCTGGACTCTTTCCAGCTGTAGTCCTGTTAGGCTTTGCCATTGGGATGCATTAACACAATATTAGAAGTTGGAAATAAATTAGAAGTAAGGGCACCTGGGTGGCTCAGTCGTTAAGCATCTGCCTTCGGCTCAGGTCATGATCCTGGGGTCCTGGGGTCCAGCCCTGCATCAGGGTCCCTGCTCAGCAGGAAGCCTGTTTCTCCCTCTCCCTCTCCCACTCCCTCTGCTTGTGTTCCCTCTCTCACTGTATCTCTCCCTCTGTCAAATAAATAAATAAAATATTTTAGAAGAAGAAGTTAGCTGTAGTATAAGCTCCTCAATCCTCAGTAAACATCACTTTATCCCAGCAGCTTTAGGGACAGTGGTGACTTCCTGTAGTTACTGATCTTTGGAGACACACCTTTCTCCTTTTGTTTTTCCAGCCCTCCTAAAACATTTGAAACCAATTCCCTGTATTCAATCCTTTTTTTTTCCACTCCCCTTCATTTGAAATACCTAGAGGATTTGGTTTTCCTTTCCAGATCTGACTGATAGAGTATTTTATATAAGGGTAATCAGGCCTCACTGAAGAGATAAAATTAGAGTGGAAGTCTGAAGGTATTGAGGGTGGTGCCATGTAAGGGGAACTGAGTTCCAAGCAGAGGGAACAACAGAGACAGAAAAATCCTGAGATAAGGGGTATGCTTGTCATGTTTATAACTGAAGTATAGAGGGAAAGGAGCAAAGTTAAAGGATGTGAGGTTAGGGAGACAACAGAAACAAGACCATTTTATTCTAAATAGCCAGGTTTGAGGAAGGGAAGCATAACATGAAACATAACATGTCTTAAATTTTTAAAAATGTTTACTCTGGCTTCAGTATGGCATGGCATATATATATATGGAGAGAAAAAGGAAAAAGCAGGGAGACTAGTTAGAAAGATATGTAATGTCCAGCAAGAGATTTGGACCAGAGTAGTAGCAGTGGAAATGATGAGAAATAATCAGATCCAGGATATATTCTGAAGTTAAAGCCAACGGGGTTTACTAGTGAATTCAAAGTAGAATATAAAAGAAAGTGAGGAGTCAAGATGAACTCCAAGATTTTGACTTGATCTATTCTAAGGGTAGTTATTACTTAGGTGAGAAAGATTGGGCAGCAGAAATCAGGCTTCTGTTTTGGACATGTTAAGTTTGAGATACTTAATTAAAAATCCTAGTAGAAATATTGAGTAGGCAATTGAACATATTGTGTGGAGCACAGGAGAAAGATTA